GCCACTGCACTCCAGTCTGGGCAACAGAGTGAGACTCCAACTCAAAAAAAACCAAACAAATAAAAAGTAAAAAATAAAAATAAAAGAACACTTTCTTGGTTTTTCTTCATTAATTTAAAAAATAAATTTAGAATCATTATTAGTTCTGAAAGAACAAATGTGTCTTTTTTTTTTTAGTTAGAATCTCACTCTGTCGCCCAGGCTCACGAAGTACAAAGAGTACAGTGAGTACAGTACTTAGGGAGTACAGTGGCAGGCTCACAGCCACTGCTGGGCTCGGGCGATCCTTCTGCCTCAGCCTTCTAAGTATCTGGAACTATAGGCAAGCACTACCATGCCCAGCTAATTTATTGATTTAGGTACTTTATCTTTTTTGCTTCATTACAAATGGGATCTTTCCCCCTCATATTTCCTAAATGTTTATCGTATATTACAAATGCTGTCAATTTCTATATGCTTGCTTTCACACTCAGGTGTTATTTTTATGCATGTAGATATGAGGTCTATGTTGCCCAGGCTGGTCTTAAACTTCTGGCCTCAAGTTATCCTTCTGCCTTGGCCTCTCGAAGGGATTACAGATGTGAGCCACCATGCCTGGTCCCACACTCAGTTTTTAGTTGAGGCTCTTGAGTGTATACGTCTAGCCTCTGGAATAGTGATTGTTTTGCCTTCTCCTAATTTTTACTTTTTTTTTTGCTTGTCTAGTTGTGATAACACCTCCAGTACAATAAACTAAAGAAAAATAATAACGGTCATTCTTTCCTTGTTTTTAATATGAGTATCATCTCCACTGAGTGTTTTGGCTTTTGAACTACATTTTATTTTCAGCCCAGTGAATGAATTTTGGGACTTGCAGAAAAGTATACTTGAAATAAAATTTTTGAATCAGCATTCTTTATTCTCAGTGTCAGATTGCTCAATGTATCCTCTATTGAAGTTTCTGACAGACATGTTCAGATAACTTTGAGCAGAATTTATTGAGAAATTAAAAAGACTCTTTAAAAATTGACATTTTAGCTGGGAGCGTTGGCTCATGTCTATAATCCCAGCACTTTGGGAGGCTGGGGTGAGAGGATTGCCTGAGCCCATGGGTTCGAGACCAGCCTGGGCAACTTGGTGAGATACTTCTTCCCCTGTCAATGTTTTCTTATTTACAAATACTTCTAGAAGGCCAGGCGCAGTGGTTCACACCTATAATCCCAGCACTTTGGGAGGCTGAGGTGAGAGGATTGCCTGAGCTCAGGGGTTCGAGACCAGCCTGGGCAACTTGGCAAGACCTTACCTCTACAATAAATCAAAAAATTAGCTGGGCATGGTGGCATGCATCTGTAGTTCCAGCTATTTGGAAGCCTGAAGTGGAAGGATAGCCTGAGCCCAGCAGGTTGAGGCTGCAGTGGCCGTGAATGTGCCACTCCACTCCAGCCTGGGTGACAGAGTGAGATTCCGACTCCAAAAAACCAACCAACCAACCAAACAAACAAACAGAAAAAACAGAAATACTTTAGAAACCTCTGGAAAATCCTTTGATTTTTCCTATTTTAAACCCATGTTACATCAATACATGAAAACCTACCTGGGAAATGATGTGTCAGTCTGCAGATACTCAGGGGCATCTGAAACTTTTCCTGAGGTAGAGTTTCAACAACAAAGCTTAGAGCACAAAATGAGAAATATTCATGAAAAAACTTAAATGGTGACACTATCAAGTCATAGCATGTGAATAATACTGCTATCAGTGTTGAAGAAAGCCCTTAGAAATGGGACCAAACCTTGTAATTCTCTCAAAGAACTGTAACCTAAGCAGAAATAACACTTATTGGAAGAGGAAGAAAAAATGGCTCGTGTGGCAAAAACGTCCCATGTGTTGTCTGTTTCAGTAAGATCAAACAAGTAAGCCAAGCAACATGGTCAGTTCAGTTAGTATTTCTCCTCGCAAACGGAGAACATCAACTCCAGGTTGGCTGGAGTTTTCTCATGGTACAATTCCTTGCATGTGGTCAAAACCAGAATGTTCCAGTCACTGCTATTCATAGGGATCCCCAACATAGGATGTTTAATTGTGATCATGGGTCCTTTTCATTACATTCAGCTCAGTTGTGCACATAGATAACTGGTCTAAAATGGAGATTTCATTGTGATTTTGAAAGGTTCATTGGAATCCGGACTTGTAAGCAGGTCAATTTATGGCAAAACATATGCCATCCATTTCAAAATCCTGTGTTTTCATGGAATGACTTAGGAAGCCACCACAGCAGTTGATGCCAAGAGGTTAGAGCTTTGTACACATGATGACAATACTTGGTTCCTCTGGGTGTGGGACATCTGGATTCTGACTTGGAGCAGGGATTTGTACTTCCTTTCGGTATTTGGCTGAATAGATAATGTATATGCTTCTCATTAAAAAAATTCCAGCAATGACTGCAAAATAACTCCCATAGACTAAAAACTGGAGAAAAACAAATAATTAGCCACATGTAAAATTTGACCATCTATGTCAATGATAATACATAATAATACCATTGGTTGGCTTGGATTATGGGGTAACTGAGACCCAGGCTCTTAATATGGGTTATTTAGGTTGAACTATGCTCTCTTCTATCAAGAAAGAATAAAGTATGAAAATGGAAGCGAGTTGGGCACGGTAGCTCACGTTTGTAATCCCAGCACTTTGGGAGGTGGAGGAGAGAGGATTTCCTGAGCTCAGGGGTTTGAGACCAGCCTGAGCAACATGGTGAGACCTCAAGCAATTAGCCTGGTGTGGTGGTATGTGGATGTGGTTTCAGATACTCAGAAGGCTGAGGCGGAAGGATCACCTGAGCCCAGCAGGTCGAGGCTGCAGTGGCCGTGAGTGTGCCACTGCATTCCAGCCTGGGTGACAGAGTTGAGACTCCAATTCAAAAAAAAAGAAAGAAAGAAAAAAGAAAATGGAAGCAATGCAAAGATGAAGAGTCTTAGTTTTAGGGCATATTGCTTAGGTTCAAATCCTAGCTATCAACATGGAAAAAACACTAAAATCCATTAATCTGTCTATGTGTCTGTGTCTGGAGGCTGATACAATTTGATATGTGATGTCTTCAAGAATAATTTAAAAAATTTTTTTGAGTCGGGGTCTCACTCCATCACCCAAGCTGGAGTGTAGTGGCAGGATTATGGTTCACTGCAGCCTCAACTTCCTGGGCTCGGGTGATCCTCCTGCCTCAGCCTCCTAAGTAGCTGGTACTACAGGTGTACAACAATACACCTGGCTGATTTTTTTCTAAATTTTTTGTAGACCAGGGCTTTATGTTGCCTAGGCTGGTCTCAAACTCCTGGGATCAAGTAATCCTCCTGCCCTGGTGTCTCAAAGTGCTGGGATTACAGTTGTGAGCCACTGCACCTAGTCAAGAATAAATTTTAAAGACACAGAGGTTACTTTTTACCTACCTTATCCAGGTCAATGTTGATATAGTTGCAATTATTGTTCAAAAGCAGCTTGGTGCATTATTATGTGATAATTAAGGAACTGTGTATTTTAAAATTTGCCTAACCAAGGACTTGGAGAAATTTTTGTATTGATACTTGCAAGGCTGAGAAACCTTTGAGGTTACCGAGTTATCCTGTGTTCCCACCAACCACATTGGTAGGAAAACAGAAGTACTGTAGCTTACCTGAATGCTGATTGGCAGGTTAAGACCTCTCTGATCTACTACAATCACAGTCATGATGGTCTGAATCACCAAGGCGATGAACGTGTTGATTCCAAACACCAAGGCATAGCGTTCTACACTCAGGTTAACTGCAATCTGAAATCTGCCATAAATCTCAAATAAGCATTTTATCCATACATGCATGGGATTCTTATCTTTAAAAGGTAAATGCAGTCTGGGCATGGTGGCTCACGCCTGCAATTTCAGCACATTGGGAGGCAAAGGCGAAAGGGTTGCCTGAGCTCAGGGGTTCAAGACCAGCCTGGGCAACTTGGTGAGACACCCCTCTCTACAATAAATAAAAAATTAGCCAGGTGTGGTGGCATGCACCTGTGGCTCCAGCCACTTGGAAGGCTGAGGCGGAAGAATCGCTGGAGCCCAGCAGGTCAAGGCTGTGGTGGCTGTGAGCATGCCACTGCACTCCACCCTGGGTGACAGAGTGAGACTCTGACTCAAAAACAAACAAAAACACACGATTCTGATTCATTAAACTGAGACATTTCAATGAAAAAAAGAACTTGCCAAATAATTCTATCTTTTCCCGTTGACTCATGATCTTTTCCCAGGATGCTCGTATTTCTGTGTTTTGTCACCAATCAAAAACAAAACTTGTTAAAGCTTTGTCTCCGCTTTTTGAAATTCAAAAGTTCCTCATCCCTTTTGGTTAACAGCAAAGCACATTTCCTGTGGTAAGCTTTAGCTGTTCTTATATGGAACCAAATGTCTTTTTTTTTTTTTTTTTGAGTTGAAGTCTCACTCTTTGTCCCTCAGGCTGGAATGCAATGGCATGCTCACGGCCACTGCAGCCTTGACCTACTGGGCTTAGGTGATCTTTCCTCCTCAGTCTTCCAAATAGCTGGAACTACAGATGCACGCCACCATGCCCAGCTAGTTTTTGTGATTTATTGTAGAGATGAGGTCTCACCAAGTTGCCCAGGCTGGTCTTGAACCCCTGGGCTCAGGTAATCCTCTCACCTTGCTCTCCCAAAGTGCTGGGATTTCAAGTTGAGCCACCGTGCCGGCCCCAAAGAGTTTTAAATCATTTTTCTAAAATAGATCTCTGATAAAAGTAGATGGAAAGATTATAGAAAACTCTAAATCTCATAAATTATTTTTAGAAAATGATAAAAAACTACTTGGTTTTGAGTGTAGCTAAAGGTTCCTTGTAATCTTTGCATCTTCTTTCCAGTATCTAACTTTTTAGACCTTTCCTGAGAATATTTGTCAAAAAAAGAAGTATGGGCCTAGAATCACTTAAGCAAGCAAATGAAATTAGGAATGAAATCTAAACCTAGTCCTTGAAAATCATATCTCTTAGGCCGGGCGTGATGGCTTACACCTATAATCCCAGCACTTTGGGAGGTCAAGGTGAGAGGACTGCCTGAGCCCATGGATTCAAGACAAGCCTGGGCAACTTGGCGAAATCTCATCTCTACAATAAATCAAAAAATTAGCTGGGCATGGTGGCACGTGCCTGTAGTTCCAGCTATTTGGAAGGCTGAGATAGAAGGATCAACTGAGCCCAGCAAGTTGAGGCTGCAGTGGCTGTGAGCGTGCCACTGTCCTCCAGCCTAGGCGACACAATGAGACTCTTTCGACTCAAAAAAAAAAAGAAAAAGAAAATCAGATCCCTGGCTGGGTGTGATGGCTCATGGCTTTAATTCCAGTACTTTGGGAGGCCGAGGTGGGATCATTGTTTGAGTGCAGGAGTTTGAGATCAGTCTGGGCAACATAGTCAGAATTCATCTCTACAAAAAAAATCAAAAAATTAGCAGGGTGTGGGGTGTGTCTGTAGTCCCAGCTACTCAGGAGGTAGAGAACCACGAGTTCCAGGCTGTGGTGAGCCATGATTGTGCCACTGCACTCCAGTCTGGGTGACAGAGTGAGACCCTGACTAAAAAAATGATAAAATAAAATAAAATAAAAAGTCTGACTTTGTTTAAAAAAAAATCACATCACATTGCACTTTATCACAGCAAGTTGCTGGAAAAAAAATCAAAACCTGACACTGTATCACTGCTTTTGGCTTACACAATTTCAGCTTTATTTCCTTCATTATCAATCTTAGCAATATTCAGAGAGCAAATCTTTATATGAAAAGATGATTTGGCAGGGCTGGGTGGTTCATATCTGTACTCCCAGCACTTTGGGAGGGGGAGGCAAGAGGACTGCCTGAGCCCAGGGGTTTGAGACCAGCCTGGGCAACCAGTCTGGGCAATTATAATAAATAAAAAAATTAGTTGGATGTGGTGGTGTGCGCCTGTGGCTCCAGCTACTTGGAAAGCTGAAATAGAAGGACCACCTGAATTCCCCAGGTCGAGACTGTGGTAGCTGTGATCACGCTGCTGCAGCATGGGTGACAGAGTGAGACCGACTCAAAAAAAAAAAAAGGTGACTTAGTTGTAACTAACTTAATATGAAGTAGTCAACATTTAATCTGCAATTAAAATACTCCTAAAGTTCTCAGAAAAATATCAGGAATACAGAAAAGAGGAAGATAGGTCAGTCTTAGGAGTGGAAAGAAATGGTTGGGGATACTTACACTGCTATGGTTATAAGCAGCATGTAGTTGGACTTGAATATCAAGTAGCCAGCATAGCACGCCCAGATGTTGGTCATGTAATGCATGAGTAACAGAGAGCCTGCACTGACAACTGAGAAGATGCCCAGAGCCAGTTCTCCCAGAAGATCCCAGTTGACTTTCACATAACCCACAGCAAAGGCAGCCACAGCCCCTGAAAAAGAAACATTGAGGATGATCAAGCATTCTGACTTTGCATGCAGGAAATATCAACATACTCTTAAAACCTCAGGTCTTAGGCCAGGCGCAGTGGCTCACGCCTATGATCCCAGCACTTTGGGATGCTGAGGTGAGAGGATTGCCTGAGCCCACGGGCTCGAGACCAGCCTGGGTAACTTGGTGAGACCCCCCCCAACAATAAATGTACTCCGGCCTGGGTGCAAGAGTGAGACTCCAACTCAAAAACAAACAAACAAAAAACCCAAAACAAAACAAAAAAAAACTTCAGGTCTTGGCGAATTCTAAAAGTGGAATATATCGCTTTCACAAAAGTTGTGTGATTCACCTAAATATGAATTCATCCTTTTCTATACTGTGTTTTTTTCGGGTTTCTCTATTCACTTATATTCTTTCAGTCACTTAGTTGACCCTTTTAATTAGCATCAACTACACATCAGGTTCTATAAAGTTCCCAACCACAGTTGTGTGGGACAAATGATACATGAACCCAGTCATTTAATACAACCTGTAGGGATTGAAAAGGATGAAATGGGTGCTCTGGCTCCTCTATTTGTCTTTCCTTTACAATTTTTTTTTTTTTTTTTTTTTTTTTTTAGTCAGGGTCTCATTTTGTCATCCAAGGCAGAGTACAGTGGTACATTCATGGCTCATAGCAGTCTTGACCTTCTGGGCCCAGATCATCCTCCTTCCTCAGTCTCCCAAGTAGCTGGGACTACAGGCACATACTACCACACTTGGATAATTTTTTGATTTTCCATAGAGGTGAGGTCTTGCCATGTTACCTGGGCTGGTCTCAAACTCCTGGGCTTAAGGAATCCTCCCGCCTCAGCTTCCCAAAGTGCTGGGATTACAGGCATGTGCTTTGGCACCTGCCCTAAATTTTATTTTTGTTTATTTATTTATTTATTTTTTGAGTTGGAGTCTCGCTCTGTCACCCAGACTGGAGTGCAGTGGCCGTTCCCGGCCACCGCAGCCTCGACCTGCTGGGCTCCGGCGATCCTTCCGCCTCAGCCTTCCAAGTAGCTGGAACTACAGGGGCGCGCTACCACACCCGGCTAATTTTTTTGATTTTATTGTAGAGATGAGGTCTTGCCAAGTTGCCTAGACGGGTCTCGAACCCGCGGGCTCATGCAATTCACTCACCTCAGCCTCCCAAAGGTGCGGGATTACAGGCTGAGCCACCGAGCCCGGCTCTTAAATTTTATTTTTGAGTCAGAGTCTCACTGTGTCGCCCAGGTTGGAGTGCAGTAGCATGCTCATGGCCACCGCAGCTTCAACCTGCTGGGTTCAGGCAATCCTTCCACCTCAGCCTTCTAAGTAGCTGGGACTACCTATAGGCGTGTATCACCACACCCGGCTAATTTTTTGATTTATTGTAGAAATGAGGTCTCACTATTAAAATTTTAATATGTCTTTTTTTCAGTGATAAGTACCAAATTTATTGGATTGAGTAGTCAGTTTTAGTTTGATTATTATTCTTTACTAATCGTAATGTTATTTCTAATGTCCTCAAGATCTGACATAATTTTCTTGAGGCTTTGGGTGAAAAGACCTATATTGGCTTAGAGTTTAAAGGCTGAATGATTGACAATAATTGGGGTTGGTAACTGTGGTTCTCTTTAACAAAGTAAAAGAAATTTAGGTTTCAGATTATTGTACTGACATTTGATTAATTAACTTTCCCACACGTGATCTAGGCGAGAACCATGACTACAAAGAAAAATAAATGATTTTTCCCTCATGAATTTGGAATGCAGAAGCAATAATTTCAGTGACTAAATTCTAGTGCATTCCTGGTTTTCAGAAGTTAAAAAAACAAAAAACAAAAAACAAACTCCTAGCCAGGGGCAATGGCTCAAGCCTGAAATCCCAGTGCTTTGGGATGCTGAGACAAGAGGATTGCCTGAGCCCTGGGGTTTGAGATCAGCCCGGGCAAATTGGTGAGACCTCGTCTCTACAATAAATCAAAAAATTAGCCAGGCGTGGTGACACGTGCCTGTAGTTCCAGCTACTTGGAAGGCTGAGGCAGAAGGATCAACTGAACCCAGCAGGTGAAGGCTGCAGTGGCCATGAGTATGCCATTGCACTCCAGTAGAGTGAGATTTTGACTCAAAAAAAAGCAACTCATAAAAGTAAGACAAAAGCCGGGCTCGGTGGCTCAGCCTGTAATCCCGCGCCTTTGGGAGGCTGAGGTGAGTGGATTGCCTGAGCTCGCAGGTTCGAGACCCACCTGGGCAGCGAGACCTCATCTCTACAATAAATCAAAAAATCAGCCGGGCGTGGTAGCGCATACCTGTAATTCCAGCTACTCGGAAGGCTGAGGCGGAAGGATCGCCGGAGCCCAGCAGGTCGAGGCTGCGGTGGCCGGGAGTGGCCACTGCACTCCAGTCTGGGTGACAGAGTGAGACTCCAACTCAAAAAAAAAAAAAAAAAAAGGGAAGACAATAATAAAATGAAGGCCACATGTGTTCTCTGGAACTTTCTGTAAATGAGGATGTGGAAAAGTACCACTTCCTAGAAAATATCTTCAAAGTTTCATTTGACGTTTAAGCTCCATTTACTAGGATATAAATATTTATTGTAGAGTTAAGCTTCAAAGATAGATTTCCCTCTGATATTAGAATCTTGATTCTCATGTCTCTTTCACCCCTCATTTAAATCTCATAAGAAAGCTACTTTTGAAAATTGTTGGTGTATAACTTAGGATTATTAAAAGTGAGTGCTAGCTAGATCAAATCCTTTATTATCAAGGCTCTTTCAGTGAGAATACAGAAGCCTTAACTTACTTTATGAAATAATACAAACTGGCTGGGCACGGTGACTCATGCCTGTAATCCCAGCACTTTGGGGGGCAAAGGTGAGAAGACTGCCTAAGCCCAGGGGTTCAAGACCAGCCTGAGCAACTTGGTGAGACCTTGTTTCTACAATAAATCAAAAAAATTAGCCTGGCATGGTGGTGCACGCCTGTAGTTCCAGCTACTTGGTAGGCTGAGGCAGAAGGATGGCCTGAGCCCAGGAGGTCGGTGGTGTAGTGGCTGTGAGTGTGCCACTGCATTCCAGCCTGGGTGACGGAGTGAGACTCCTGTACAAAAAGAAAAACAGAAAAACCAATCTTGAATGGACAGGACACATTATCAATACATGTCCTGATCATGAAATGGAAGCTTAGGGATTCAACTAGAATTTAATTGTTTGGGGTAAGTCCCAAGTTCCTGATTTATTAACTGTAACACATTAACAACACGGTACTCTTTGCTTTCCCAGTGCCTTTCATTCTCGAGACTTGGACTTAACGGGGTAGTCCATCAAAGGAAGAGAAAGCAACATTTATTTACCTCCAAATGTTGCAATAGCTTCTACTGCCCCATTATAGATGGAAGAATCTTGAGATGGTGCCTTATAATCCCACAGGATTTGAACATAGTTCAAAACCTGGTGAAAACCTGCTGTAGAAAAAGCCCACCACAGGGACCAGTAAAAAAGATGCTTTGAACGGTAGCACTCCTTCAAATCTTGGAACCACTGTGCAAACACTTTCAAAGTCATGTTTTCCAGTTTTGGGCTGCTCAGCTGGCCATCATTCAAGTTCCCTGAAGCAGAGGGTTTTTCCGAAGTGGGTTTCTCCTCTTCACAGCCTGGTGCTTCTCTTTCATAAGGTTCCTCTAACACTGTGCTCATGCTTAGTGACTTCTTTACTTCTTTGCTACGTTTTGCATGAAAAAACATGCTTTTCTGGGGCATCGGCAGAAAAAATGAGAAAAGGCAGGCCATGGAGACAGAGACCATGGTTATGACGTTGAGGTAAAAGTACGACAGCTTGGCCAGGGACACAAGGAGTTGGGCCAGCACGGAGCCCGCCGTGTAGGCCACCAGTGTGATGCTCCGACAGTAGCCACTCACTCTCTGGTAGTGCTCGGGGCTGACCACGCTGTAAATGTAGGCATAGTAGGCCACCTCGGTGGCGGTGACGATCCCGAAGAAGAACTCCACAGCCTGCATGGCTTTCACTCCTTGGCCAAACAACAGCAGCAGCCAGGTAATGATGAAGCTAATCCCTTGTAAGATGAGGACTGGCTTGTAGCGAACGTAATCAGTGAGGATGAACACTGGGAGCAGCAGCACAAGGTAAGAATAGGTCCAAACGGGAAGGATCTCATTTGTGATCTGCGAAATGGACAAGAAGTGTGACCATGAAACACTAATACATCACTAAGGCACATGTGGATTTTACCTCAAATTCTGTGTCCAGTTGGTATTCTTCATATGATGAAAAAACATAATCAGAAAACTGGTTTTCGAGGAAATCACCAAGAAAAGATAGGCCCCTTCCTCATTGGTAAAAATCCAATTCATTAGTATACTTAGGTGTACCTCAGTAGAAGAAATAATATGCAATTTCAACTATATGTGAAGTTTAAATAATATCTTTAGTTGAGTATTAGTTAAAAACTAGAGGCCGGGCATGGTGGCTCAAACCTGTAATCCCAGAACTTTGGGAGGTCGAGGCGAGAGGATTGCCTGAGCCCAGGGGTTCGAGACCAGCCTGAGTAACTTGGCAAGATCTCATCTCTACAATAAATCAAAATATTAGCTGGGCGTGGTAGTGTGTGCCTGTGGTTCCAGCTACCTGGAGGGCTAAGGCAGAAGGATCGCCTGACCATGGGCATGCCACTGCACTCCAGTTCGGGCAACAGGGTGAGAATTTTTCTCTAAAAAAAAAACAAAAAATCTTCCTTTTTTTCCCATAGATTCATACCATTGGATAAAGAGGTTGCACTATTAAAAGAATTTGACAACCTTTATCTTCATTTGAGCCATCACTTTGTCAAAATTTTTAGCTCTTTCAAAGTTTTCAAAGATGTGAAAATGGGAAAAGAGTAAATAACTCTGCCAGGTTTGGTGGCTCGTGCCTGTAATTCCAGTACTTTGGGAGGCGGAGGCTAGAGGGTTGCCTGAGTCCAGGAGTTTGAGACCACGCTGGGCAATTTGAGACCTTGACTCTACAATAAATCAAAAAGTTAGCCCAGTGTGGTGGTGTATGCCTGTGGTTCCAGCTATTCGGAAGGCTGAGTCAGAAGGATCACCTGAGCCCAGCAGGTCAAGGCCGCAGTGGCTGTGAACGTGCCATTGCACTCTAGCCTGGGCGACAGAGTGAGACACATACTAAAAGAGAGAGAGAGAGAGAGAGAGAGAGAGAGAGAGAGAGAGAGAGAGAGAGAGAGAGAGAGAGAGAAGAGCTTTAATGAATTACAGAATGAAAACAAATAATGCATTTTTCTTTCCTGGACAAATTTGGTGGACTCACAACCCTTTCCTCCCACTGATTTGTCTAGTCTCAATTGAACATATGTTACCTCATGGATTTAGTCAGAAATGCATAGGAATTTGGCTGGGCGGAGGCTCATGTTTGCAATCCTAGCACTTTAAGAGGTCAAGGTACGTCGGGTGTGGTGGCTCACAGCTATAATCCCAGCACTTTGGGAGGCCGAGGTGAGAGAATTGCTTGAGCCCATGGGTTCAAGACCAGCCTGGCAGCCAGGCTCGGTGGCTCAGCCTGTAATTCCAGTGCTTTGGGAGGCCGAGGTGAGTGGATTGCCTGAGCCCGCAGGTTCAAGACTCACCCAGGCAACTTGGTGAGACCTCGTCTCTACAATAAATCAAAAATTAGCCGGGCATGATAGCGTGTGCCTGTAGTTCAGGTTACTTGGAAGGCTGAGGTGGAAGGATTGCCGGAGCCCAGCAGGTCGAGGCTGCGATGGCCAGGAGAGGCCACTGCACTCCAGTCTGGGTGACAGAGTGAGACTCCAACTCAAAAAAAAGACTAGCCTGGCCAACTTGGCAAGACCTCATCTCTACAATAAATAAAAAAATTAGCTGGACGTGGTGGCAAGTGCCTATATAATTCCAGCTAATTGGGAGGCTGAGGCGGAAGGATAACCTGAGCCCAGCAGGTTGAGGCTGTGGTAGCTGTGAGCGTGCCACTGCACTCAGCCTGAGAGACAGAGTGAGACTCCAATTCAAAAAAAAAAAAAAAAGAAAGAAAGAAAAGAGGCCAAGGCAGGAGGATTCTTGAGCCCAGGAGTTCTAGACCAGCATAGGCAACACAGCTAGACCAGGTCTATCAAAAAATTAGTGGGGCATGGTGGTGCAGACCTGTAGTCCCAGCTACTTGGGAAATGGAGCGGAAGAATCTCCTAAGCCCAGGAGATCAAGGCTGCAGTGAGCCGTGATCATGCCACCGCATACCAGCCTGGGCAACAGAGTGAGACACCAACTCAAAAAAACGAAAAAGAAAAAGAAAAAAAGGAAAGATGTTAGGTGACACTGGCTCACACCTATAATCCTAATGTGTTGGAAGGCTGAGAAAAAAAGGAAAGATGCTAGGTGATACTGGCTCACACCTATAATCCTAATGTGTTGGGAGGCTGAGGCAGGAGAAGCACTTGAGCCCATGAGTTTGAGACCAGCTTAAGCATAGCAAGACCTTGTCTCTACAAAAAAATAAAAAACTTAGCCAGGTGTGGTGGTATGTGCCTGTAGTTCCAGTTACTCAGGAGCCTGAGGTAGAAGGTTCGTCAGCCCAGGAGGTCAAAGTTGCAGCGAGCTGTGAGCCGTGATCGTGACACTGCATTCTTGCCTGGGTGAGGTGAGACGCCTGGCTCAAAAAATAAAAAAGTCAAAAATATGCTCCCTATTTTTGCAAGTGTGAAGAGGAATTAATTTGAACAGTTCTGTTATGTGACAAAAACTATGAAAATGGGATTCACTGAATATGTTCGTCGTTTCTCAAGTTGAAGTCCTGACTCTGTCCTTGTTCATGTCCTACAAAATTAAACCACATTAAGGTAGGTATGTCCATTAACTTACCTCCGTGCTGGACAGGTTTTTATTTGGTCCAGATAAATATGGGACAAGGAATGGTTCTGAGGGTCTCATTGTGGAGAAAAACCCAAACAAGCAGAGGATTACAGTAGGATAAATCCAGGAATTGCTTGGTGAAGTTCTGTAACAATCCATGGCTGATAAAATGAAAACAAAACCAAAATTATGTGACTTTTTTTCGCATATAGAATGTAATTTAAAATGTTTAAGCCGGGCTCGGTGGCTCAGCCTGTAATCCTGCACTTTGGGAGGCTGAGGTGAATGGATTACCTGAGCCCGCAGGTTCGAGACCTGCCTGGGCAACTTGGCGAGCCCTCATCTCTACAATAAATCAAAAAATTAGCCGGGCGTGGTAGCGCGCACCTGTAGTTCCAGCTACTTGGAAGGCTGAGGCGGAAGGATCGCTGGAGCCCAGCTGGTCGAGGCTGCGGTGGCCGGGAGTGGCCACTGCACTCCAGTCTGGGCGACAGAGTGAGACTCCAACTCAAAAAAAAAATGTTTAAAAATGCTTTATCCAAGAATAATATTTCATTAATCTGCAGTTGAAATGGATAAGCGAGTGATGACCAACTACTTTCAAACGTTTCTAGGTGAGCCAGTCAAACCCTTCTTTGCCAATTAACTCCCTATTCACTATGGCTGGGGGGACAGTCACACTTTTTTACTGTTCTCCACCACAAACACGTGAGTAGCTACTAATAAATGATATACAATGAGCCAACGAATGCTTGAAAGTAAAACACTGGTAGTGAATTGTTGGTGTACATATTGTAGGTAGTTTACAGTATTTGTATTTTTTTTTTTTTTAAGTTGGAATCTTACTGTGTTGTCCAGGCTGGAGTGCAGTGGCACACTCAGGGCCACCTCAGCCTCGACCTGCTGGGCTCACACTATTCTTCTGCCTCAGCCTTCCAAGTAGCTGGAACTACAGACATGCGCCACCAAGCCTGGCTAATTTTTTGATTTATTGTAGAGTTGAGGTCTCACCACGTTGCCCAGGTTAGTTTCAAACAATCCTCTTGCCTCTGCCTCCCAAAGTGCTGGGATTACAGGCGTGAGCCACCGTGGCCGGCAAGTTACAGTATTTGAACACAGGTAAAGTACACAATCAAACACAGATTGAGTTTTCAAACTTTTATTATCTGCCTGCTGCAATTTGCACTGATTCTAAAACCTTTAGCACACCAAATTGCACTTATTTATTTACACTTTTAAGTCTTTCATTAGACTGTTCCTCGCCTAGCATTGTGCTGGATACAGAGAACATCCATAATATATTTTTAATATTCCCGAGAATGCATAATTCTTCAGTTAAAGAAATTAAATGGGATCTGACTTGCCATTTTCCCCCCAGTTGACTGTTGGGAATGAAAGACATTACTCCTTTAGACCAACTATTTCACTTTAAACTATGACTGGAACCATTACTTCTGTAAGCCTGAATTTTCATACCACTCAATGAAAGCAGGTAACTAAGTAATAGTTCATACTTTTCCTTAAATTTTTAAAATTCAACTTTTAGTCAGGAGTGGTAGTGCATGCCTGTAGTCCCAGCTACTCTGAAGGCTGAGGCAAGAGGATAACCAGAGCCCAGAAGTTCAAGGCAGTAATGTACCATGATCACCTGTGAATGGGATTGCATTCCAGCCTGGGCAACATACTAAGAACAGGTCTCTAAAATAAAGAAAATAAAAAACAGGCCAGGCTCGGTGGCTCAGCCTGCAATCCCAGCACTTTGGGAGGCCGAGGGGAGTGGGTTGCCTGAGCCTGCAGATCGAGACCCACCCAGGCAACTTGGCCAGCCCTCTTCTCTACAATAAATCAAAATATTAGCCAGGCGTGGTAGTGCACGCCTGTAGTTCCAGCTACTTAGAAGGCTGAGGCGGAAGGATCTCCAGAGCCCAGCAGGTCGAGGCTGCGGTGGCTGGGAGTGTGCCACTGCACTCCAGTCTGGGTGACAGAGTGAGACTCCAACTCAAATAAAAAAAGAAAAGAAAAGAAAAAATAAAAGACAGAAATTCAAACTTTAAGTATAAAGCCTAATAGAAGAACTAATTCGTCATGGATCAGGAAAAAAAAAAAAACAAACCTGACTTCATGGTGACCATATTTGAAAACATCTGGCATTTTCATGTGAATTACAACGTGCACAGAAAAATCTTATTTTATTTATTATTTTATTTTATTTTTTGAATTGGAGTCTTACTCTATCACCCAGGCTGGAATGCAGTGGTACACTACCAGTCACTGCAGTCTCCATCTGTTGGGCTCCGGGGATCCTTCTGCCTCAGCCTTCCAAGTAGTCGGAACTAAAGGTGCACGCTACCATGCCCTGCTAATTTTTTAATTTATTGTAGAGATGAGGTCTCCTCATGTTGGCTGGGCTGATCTCGAGCCTGCAGGCTCAGGCAATCAATCCTCTAGCCTTGGTCTCTAAAGCACTGGGATGATAGGCTTGAGCCACTGTACCTGGTCACTTTTTTTTTTTCTTAAATCAGGGCCTTACCCTGTTGCCCAGGCTGGAGTGCAGTGGCACAATCATGGCTCACAGCAGCCTCCATCTCCTGGGCTCAGGAGATCCTTCCTTCTTAGCCTCCTGATTAGCTGGGACTATAAGCATGCACTCACACCTGGATAATTGTATGATCCTTTCCTGTATCTCCTTAAATCTTCCTAATAGTTATGAAATAATATTTTGCCAGGTTCCCAGAAGAGCATATGGAAGATTCAAGAAGTCTAACAACTGGCTTCAAACCACATGGTCAAGACTTGAATCTGGCTTCCTGTAACTCCCACAGGATCCTTTCACCCACTCCCCTCTACCTTATTCTGGTGACCCATTTCCCTCTGCTGCTGGTATTAATCTCATGACAACCTCTCTCCACAGTGAGAGAAGAAAATGTTTTTATAAACATTTGTTCTAAAGATTATGGCTTCATATAGAAGGCTTCTAGGGGCAATTGAAGTTTGAAAGAATGAACCGAGAGCGGGAAGACATTTTTTTATCTTGTTCTTAAACCCTGACACAATAATGCTATGTCCTGGAGAAATCCATTTTTTATCTTGTTCCTAAACCCTAACACAATGATGAGAAAGTAGAGGTTATGTCTGGGAGAAATACATGCTCTAGGTAAAGATTAACTTTGCTGACTGTCTTTTCAGAAACACAGACTCCTTAAGCATGACCGGTACCGGCCTATTGCAATTTGTGTTTTTAGAAACTCAAATTTCTCAAGCATGACCAGTATCAACCCATTGTATAGTTGGTGCCTGGTGACCAGGACCCCCCCTCCCCGGGTCTCCAAGACTTCTACAAGTGGTCAACAAGGAAGTCACAGCAGTCACGTCTACCTGATTGCAGCATCTCCAGGGGAAAGGATTTAAGCCAGGGCTCGGGGGCTAGGGTGCCACACTCATCTAGAGGGTAGACCTACTTCCTGTCTGTGGGAAGTGAGCCTTTCTTAAATAAATCTTTTCTTCTTTCACCTCCTTGTGTGCTGTAAATCTTTGCATTACTCGGACCTCTAGTTACCAGCGAGCACCTCTGGCACACCGGCTCCCACCGTGCTGCGCCCCTCCCCATCCATCCACCCACTCTGACCCTCCGTACTCTAACAGAAAGTAGAATAGAAGACCAGCCGGTGGTTCAGCCTGTAATCCCTCGCCTTTGGGAGGCTGAGGTGAGTGGATTGCCTGAGCCCGCGGGTTTGAGACCCGCCTGCACAGCGAGACCTCATCTCTACAATACATCAAAAAATCAGCCGGGCGCGGTAGCGCATGCCTGTAATTCCGGCTACTCGGAAGCCTGAGGCAGAAGGATCATCAGAACCCAGCAGGCTGCGGTGGCTGGGAGCAGCCACTGCATTCCAGTCTGGGCGACCGAGTGAGACTCCAACTCAAAAAAAAAAAACAAAAAGAAAAGAAGACCAGCCTGGGCAACTCGATGAGACCTTGCCTCTACAATAGATCATGAAAACTAGCCAGGCGTGGTGGCGTGTGTCTGTAGTTCCAGCTACTTGGAAGGCTGGGGTGGAAGAATCGCCTAACCCCAGCAGGTCAAGGCTGCAGTGACTGTGAGCGTGCCACTGCACTCTAGCAGCCTGGGTGACAGAGCAAGACTCCAACTCAAAAAAAAAAAAAAAAAAAAAGGAAAGAGAAAGTAGAATAGAGAAAGGGGAAGAGAGTGCTCATCCCAAAAGCAAGTGACCTGAGTGGAATTCCAGGTATCCAAAGGGAAGAGCTTTGCTTAGGGAAGGTGGGAAGGACCTGCAAGATCATGCTATACCTTATTCTTTCACAAAGGAGGCCCAAACTGCTGCATAATTCCTCTCATAAGTAAAATACGGTAAGCACTGTTTCTGCTCATATCAACAAAGCCCTGGATTAAGCAGTTTAGAGACAATGGTGATCAGATTTTGGAACTGGGATTACAGCAAGTGAGCAATGCTGACTATGTGAACATCTTGCCAAGGGCAAACTGAGGTTGGCTATTCTCCATCTACTCCCTCAGGCCAGAAAGCATGAGCTTGCTCATCTTCCTGGAATTCTGCTGGGTTTGCTGGGGCTTTCTTGGTTATCAACAAACAGTCTTACAGAAAAGACTGTCTTGATAGGCAGTTACTAATGCCGGATCATCTTCTGAAGAGTAGTCTTCATGGGGTAGCATCTGTTGACTCTATATCTAGAAAGTTCTTTCGGTTTATGCTGACCATGGATTTGTTCACTATTAACTCCAAGCCATCATCTTCTCCATGCATCTCAGAGACCCAAGACTACGCCCATGACCCCTGAGCTGCTAAAAGCCCCCTAGATTATCTATTCATCTCTTTATAGTTCTAATATGGCTGCTCAACTTGATTTAGTTAGGAAGGTCAAGAGGAAAAAGACAATGTATGCACACAGAATAGTAAGCAGTAAACCAAAACAGGGGTGGTGGCTCATGCCTGTAATTCTAGCATTCTGGGAGGTGGAGGCAAGAGGGTTGCCAGAGCCCACGGGTTCGAGACCAGCCTAGGCAATATGGTGAGACCTTGTCTCTACAATAAATCAAAAATTAGCTGGGCATGATGGGGCACACCTGTAGTTCCAGCTACTTGGAAGGCTGAAGCAGAAGGATAGCCTGAGTCCAGCAGGTCAA